TGGTGCAATTGGTGTTCGTTATAGGATCATGTGGTTGTATAGCTGTATGCTGGATGACAAGTATTGGTTTGACGGAGATGCGTTGATCTAAGGTTAAGTCTGATCCTCGTTGGGGTCTGGTTTGTTCTATAAAGGGGCGGTGGAGATAGGATGTTGTTGTGTTCAGGGGTCTTGTAACCATTTTCCTTTTAAGCCTTGTATAGTCGTATAGAGAGGACCAGTGTAGGTTTTAAGTTGAGTATAGAATTCAACGGGTTTTGTGTATAACGTTGTGAGTGAGGAGTATCCTCATAGGGTGGTGATCATTGGGTTTTCTAGCGACAGATTGTGATTGCCTGTTGACGTCCAGTGTCAAAGGCAATAATGTTGGTGGATTTATAGTCTCGGAGTTTTGTAAGGTGTTCTTGGAGAGTGTGCGACTGTTGTGCCCCCTTCTCGTTAAGGAGGGTAGATTTCGAGGACGAAATCTCTTTAAGGAGGGTAGATTGTGATGTTTCCGATTTTCACCATTTTAATTTTTCCGGAATTTTGTTGCCGCAAGGGCATTTTCGTCTTTTCACGTTATGTGTACGGGATTGTGGTTAGGTCCATTTGCATTGTGTACATTTTAAATTATGTGGATTGAGTAGTTTTTTGCATGTGGTGCACTCGTGTGTGTATGTGGTGTAAAATTGAAGCAAAAAGAAAATGGAAAAAGAAAAGAAATAGTGGCGGGACCCACCACCATCCCAAATTTGAGTTAGAGACCATATTTTTGGTCTCTTACTTCTCTCTTTCCCGTGCGTCTCTCTCTCTCCATCTTGCCCCTTGTTTTTCTTTTTCATTTTGGTTTCCAATCTTAGAAACAAGATAACTCACTCAATACTTGGAGAAATTGAGAGCTGTTTGAGGCAAAACGAAGAGCACGAAGAGCTCTACGCATTCATACGAGCAATTTCAGATTTGGTGCCCTCCTTGATTTTCGAATTCCTTGACCCATTTCAAGGGTTTTGTGTCAATTTGAGGTAGGGGCTCTTAATCCACGAAGTTCTTGCGCTTTAGTGAATTAATCTACTTGAATTGTGCCTTAGCATGCTTAATTGCTTTGATTTTAGTTTAACATTACTTAATTGAGAATATGTGAATTTGAATGAATATGTGTTAACTTGATTGTATATAGAAGCATGCTATATGTTGAGTTATGTGTTCATTGTGTTGCTCATATACTATAAATGATGTATGAAGGACATGCCCAAGTGTTGAATTTATAATTCCATTATGCTGTTTCTATTGTGTAAAAGCATGTTGTAGCTTCCTTAAAAGTTCTTATGAATCGTGTTAGCTAATTAAATTTGAGCTAATTGTGAGATGATGAACATTGGCATGACATAAATGCATCTATGCATTTACATTGGGCATGAAATGCGAAGAATTGATTTTGAAATGAAAATGGGAAGTTTTGGGAAAGAATGTATTGATGAAAGTGTTTTGATAAAATCCGGTCGCTGCGGAGTCACCAACGGGCTGGTAGGTTAATGTAACCTAGAGGGAACTAGGGAGATTGCCCTAGCGTGGTTGAGCTATCTGGGCCCCATAATGACGCTGCGGAGTCACCAAAGGTCAGGGACAGTAGCCAATCTTTCTCTCGGCGCTGCGGAGTCACCAAAGGGGGTTACATTAACGGTTTGGAAGTGATGGTTTGAAAATGGGGAGCGACATCGGCATGCATTGCATCCCATAGCATTCTATTGTTTATAATGAGACTTGTTGTTACGTTGTGTTATTCCGACAATGTATGATCCCCATCCCTATTGTCCTATTCTTTGGTTGGATTCATGGGGACACAAGAGACGTGTCTTAAGTGTCACCTACTGAGCAATTTGCTCACTCCACATAATTAATATTTTTCAGGTCACGGCAAGGATTTGGCGGATGATAATCCACCACAGGGCTAAGGGAATGTGAAAGCATTTTTGAATGTATTTTGTGGGACTTAAACTATTCTTGTAAAATGCATGACACAAAATGTATTATTTTTGCAATATGTAAAACATTTGAATTTATCATGTATATGGCCATTTGGGTAATGTAATTAAATTCGTATCATGTTAATTCCCGCATATCATATAACGTGTTGTAAATTACGTTATCAACGTGGTGGTTATTATTGCAATTAAATGTTGAAATGTATCTTAGTTTATATACGTGAGTGTAGTGGCACAGTGTTTGGACAGTGGGTGAGGATAACCCAAACCAGTCGACGTGTAGCTTCCTATACGTCGACCGGTATCCTGACAGTAAGCATTTTGAACGTAAATGACCCAAACCAGTCGCCGTATGGCTCCCCATACGTCGACCGGTATCTTTCAGTGTGGTAATCTTGTACACGTTCCAAACCAGTTGACGTATGGCATCCCATACGTCGACCGGTATCATGTCCCAAACCAGTCGACGTATGGCTTCCCATACGTCGACCGGTATCTTGGCTGTGGGTTTTCCCCTGTTCATAGCCCAAACCAGTCAACGTAGAGTGTATATGCGTCGACCGATTCTGTCTTTTGTATGTAATTACTATTTTAAATTCTCAAATTACACTTTGGCATCCATTTGAAGTTGCACGTAATTATTTTATGACCCAATAAAATGCCATAATTATATTTTAACCCCCGAAAGGACTATATTGCCCGAACCTTATTTTATTTACTATGTGATACAAGTTAATGACCGTTGTACCCTTGAGTCTCAATTTATTGAATTGTGGTAAATTACCATTTTGCCCTTTTCGGGCTTTGATATTTAAATTTAATTTGAAAAGACCGTTTTACCCTCGGATGATTTTGGGTCAGGTAAGGACCCGTTTAATGATCCGGATCCATTAGGATTTGGGTCGTTACATAAAATTCATATATACAACATCATGGCAATTTTTCAAGAAATAATCACAACTAAACAAATCATACTTAAATTATAGGGGGATGAATCACAAAAATCAAAGAGATTGCAGATTAGAACACCCCTACCTCAAAAAGAAGAAAAAGCCCCAAAATCACCCAAAAATTCGAAATCCGAAGGAGTGGCCAAATGACACTTTGCTCCGATCAAAACGTTGGCCTTGACGCACTCGTCAACTTTGTCTCAAGTGGCAACATCAAATTCCTAAAGGCTAGAGAGATATCTTGGCTTGAAGTTGGAAAAGAAAAAGAAAAAGAAAATCAGCAGAGAGGGAGAGAGAGAACGCAGCAGCAGAGAGAGAGAATGAGGTCTGATAATGGCCTCGTGGCCATTTACAATAACTAATTCCCCTGTGGGGCCCATGGTTACAAAATATCCCTTTAATAACTTTAATATATATATATATATATACACCAATCACTTACCACCACACATTAAACATTTAGTCAAATAAATGTGCACAATAAAATAATGCATGAAATGCAATGGACCCATGACACAACCCCCGTGCACAACAACCCCTGTAGCGGGTCCCATCTGGGACCTTTCGGCCTGAAAAATAGAAAAATGCCGAAATGACAATCAATACATTTCCAAGGGTCCTGAACTCAAGGAAATGTCCCAAACAACACTCTGACACATCTGGCACACCACACGGTGTCCAGCACTCAAAACGAGAAAAGACGAAAAGACCTTCGAAAAATTAGAAAATTCCAGAAAATGGAAAATGGCTAAAATCGGAAAAATTACAGGATATGGTTGCTTAACCAAATATTGATTCAAGTAAAGAGAAAATGAAGAAGCTGGATATCGATTGTATGACCAGGTTGCAATGGAGGAAAAACGATGATTTGATGATCGCAAGGGAATTGACCTATTGATGTCTTTCAAGTGGCTTAAAACGAACGAAAATTTCCATAGAAAACAATCATGAGAATGACTGGCCAGAGAAAGGGTTCCCGGTTCACCAGGTTTGACCACTACCTATCAGGAATCTTAAAGGTCAAGCAATTGAGTCAATCCAGGCAAGTGATCCAGGTAAGGGGGTCAGGGCTCGTAGCCTTCTTAGCTCTTCGCCTTGAAAAGATGATGCCGAAGGTCACATACGGCTGTGCAATGAGGGAAAGGGCCTTCAAAGGCACGAGAATTGCTATAGATATAGATAGAATAGGTTTGATTTTCTTGGTAAAAGTTGCGTAAGTTGGAGCTTTTCTTTTGACAATGTTGCCCATTCCCATGACTTTATAAACACTCTTTTCTTTTTTCTTTTTCGCATTGTGATTGATTCTTGCCACCAGGGAGACGTACCCGCAGCCCTTTCTCTTTAGCATTGGCAGAAACAGTTCCACTTCCTATTATTCTTAAGTGGAGGGATGAAGTGGCTTGGCTTCAATACATAAGCCAAGAAATGGGAAAAGGGCTGAATCTTGTTGATTGTGCCTTTGTTTTCGCCCTCTCTGGCCTTGCCGTAATTCCCCAGTCCTAGGGCTCTGTAGGTTGCTTGCGAATCCCTGTCTTATTCAGTATCTGCTTTCTAAGAAGGGCTCTCCACTCTCCTATTCCCTTTTCAAAGAGGGCTCAACCCACATTAAATATCGGGTGGCCAAATCACCCACATTGGATATCGGGTGTTTTCTTGATTTCCTCTTGTTCAAGGGCATCCTCTTTGTCGAGAAGCGAGTAGACCTCAGGCATAGCAATTGCTAGCCCCGAGGTAAACATCAAGGAAGATAGAAAGCTACTAACAAGACAAAGAAATTGGTCTTTTCCTCCACCAGTCCTCGGAGGTGCCCATCTCCACGCAGGATGCCTTTTTATAGGGATGGAAGTCCTGTGGGACGCAATCACAAAGAATGCTCACCTACTCTAAAAAGTGTATCACCATGTGGTCGACCTGCTGATTCTCGAAGTCCATCTCCACGTAATTCTGATGCTATCGTGAGTCATGAACCTACTTCTCAGTATTGACTTTAGTTAAAAGTTTGTAGCTAAACTGCTTTTAATTTTTGGTATTTATCTTTTTTTTTTTTTTAATTTTTTTTAATTTTTAATTTTTTATTTCATTACAGGAGTAAGGGAGCACCAGACCGTGTGATGGACCTTTGACCTAAATGTATCATGTTTTACTGCATTCCTTCTGTAGGGGATACTTTCAGATTTGCCAGTATGATGAATGCTAGAATTGATTGCTCTAGGCGTATTTCTAAGGTTATAATATTTTATTCCTGTACTTGATACATCCCTGCTGTTAATTTTGACTGTAGTTTCTGCGCTCTTTACTATCAGTGGCACAAGTGCGCATTGTGATGTTATTTTATTGTTGCTTTACTTGATACATCCCTACAGTTAGTTTTGAGGCATGCATGTTGATTAATATTACTTGGTGTTGATTATTGTTAGTTTAGATATCTGAAATTTTAATTTATGATGGACCATGTACTGGCCTTCTATAGTTGTGCCTGGGAAGAGTGGTTATGACTGACTGGTGAGATGATGTAGCAGCTGTTGATGCTGTTTTTACTTTGCTGTTGGTTGATATCCTTTTCTTGCTGGTTGCAAAGTACAGTGTCTCTACAAATTGACTCTGACGATCATGATTGGTAATGGATAGAATACTCGGATATATTGAGGACAATTTGGAATTATGATTTCGGACTTGATCATCTTTCCTGATTGTTGCTTACTCTAGATTTTGCCATTTTGGGCCTAGAAAGGAATATTAGTTGCTCTGATGATCTCAAAGATAGGTTGAAACCACATGCCTTTACCAGTAGCTAATGCAGTTAACTGCAGGACCAGATGTTCAGCTATGCATATTCTAATATGAAACCTGCTATGCTGTACATTGTGACAATGAGGTTGGATGTGGCGATGAATACACAGCCACTTGTTTATTACAGTTTTCAGTTAGATTTTATGTCATCTATTGCCTTGCTTTTAGGTTGTGCTGAAACAGTTTCGTACATGCAGTTGCCAACATGGCTTTAAGCTGATACCAGTTCATTATCTTAAGCAAAAATATCGTGGCTGTAGCTGTAAAATGATAGCTGATATCTTTATAGATCGGTTGTTGCTGCACTTCCTGCTGATAACTATCGAATCTGATGCTACTGTTTTTGGTGTTGATGAGTAATGCTTGGTAGTTGGTATGCTAGCTGTGTTGCAGCTGTCTCCAGTAGATGTGCTCTCTTTCTTTGCCTTCCAATTGCAAAATGCTAAGGTTGAGTTATAGTTTTGGTTTGCATTTTCTTAGAATGTATTTTTGCAGTTACACCCTACATCCCCCGTTAATTTATGTGAATTTCTTGCAGGTTGAATTATACGGCTATGATGTATTCTTTAGTTACATCATGCTGGAATTTTGTTTCGAAATATAATTGTTCATAAAACAATTTATATTGTGTTTCTTTTGTTATATTATTACTTCAGTATCACTGAAGTGCGCATATTGAACACTCTTTCGTATAAAAACACCATTTAAGTGATAAAATAAAATAAAAAATTTAAAAAAATGTAATTATTAAGTTATTAACTGCCCTTCGATTTCAGGATTTGATAAATCCTATGCATAGACGCATAATCCACACCTACCCTGAGTTCATAGAACTGGGTGAATGCTATATAGCTTTGGAGCTGATTTCCCTGTTCACTCTTATGATTGATACATGATAGTATTTGTCAAGGTTTTTGGTTCACCTATTTTGTTGCAAAGTCTAAATCTTGGAGTCCTTGTGTTGAGGCATTACATCTGCATCCTGTTACTGCTTTTCTTACTGGTTCAGATTAAGTCTGATCTACGAGTATGATTCTTTTTCCTTTTGTTACAATCAAAGTTGGTGGATGGTGAAAATGTTGTTGACTGACGTGGAACTTTCGTCTTCTCGGTAATTTAAAAGGAAAAAGAAAATGAAATTGTGAAATGTAAGTTAGTGCTTGAAATGTTTATGGCATTGCTTAAAAATTGTGAATACGGGAAATACCTTGTTTGCACATGGCTTTATGTTATGACGGGAAATGCACGTCTTTAAGTTATGATGTAGGAGTCGTTTCTATCAAACTTTCAAGTTTCAATATACATTGTTTTCTTTGGGTCTCTGAGTGATTTCTTAATGAAATTGTACTTATAATTTCTTTTTAATTTTTGTATTTAGTCAATTCTTTTTAATTCCTCTTGCAAATTATAGGCTTGGCTGATACTTAAAAATCTGTTAGGTGCCCCAGTATGAAGCATTGAAGGCGCTAAATTTGTGGTTAGATCTTAATCTGGGGAGCGCCTGGCATTTCATTCCATTAGGTTTTCATGCTCTGGAATATTAGGCGTTGGGCATTGCTGGTTTTTGTGGTTTATGACGAGTTCTGAGATCTTCACTACTGTAGTGACCTTTCCTGTTATGTTCTTGTAGGCTCATTTGCAGTTTTTTGTTTTGCTGATATTTAGGGGTTTTGTTGTCGAGGGAAGGTAATAGGAGAGGTTGCATCACTATTACTTGCACAATTTCACTATTAATTGCAGCACTTTTTGTTTTGCTGAAATATTATGTTATATAATATTTTTTTTTTTCATGTTTATTTTTGTTTTAGCAGTCCTGATTTTGTGATTGATATGGTTGTTGCTGTTGCATGATCACTTATAAATTTTGCATGAATTCTGGTGTTTTATATCGAGTACAATTAGTTTTTACGTGTTTTATAGAGCAGTAGTTTAGATGGCTGTCCTTTTCTTTGAATAAAGTTCCTAAAAACCTAATGAAAGTAGTTACGAAGCATTTTGAATATCTTTTATTTTCTTACCTTTATTATTATTATTAAACCTCCTCACTCTGAAGGTTGATATCATCATGAAGGTTGATACTTATATGCCAAAGTAGAAGAAATAAAGTTACCAGGGGAAGATGGGTGCTAAAATGTTGTAACATTTCTTTCTACATTGATATTCGAGTTGGGATCTTTTGCAATAGACGAATCCAAACTCATACACCTGTACTTCCTCGTATCTTAAAATGATTTAATCAAACCTTTCAATCACATAGAGTTGTATACGTCTCTGTGATATAAACATCATTGACTTCAACCAAGTCTACACGCCTAAATTCAAGAATACCATCAATTCAGTGAACAAATATAAAGCAGTAAAAAAACATACTAAAGCCCTGAGTTCACACAACTTTCTAAGCGCCCCCAGTGAAAATGAAATAATTTATATTTTTAGAGTTGAATTTTCTATTTACTTTTCAATTCTTGTTCTTTAGTTTAAATTCAGTTAGTTTGTCGTTGAAAGTTATCTATTGCATGCTATTGTGTTCCCATTAGGGAAGGTGTAGTAGTATTGAATCTCTGATGAACTTAATGTTTAGTCCTCCGCATTCAGATCATATAATTTAAGGGAACCATTCTAAGCCTATATGGATGAGATGTTGACAAACTCACATGGATTTTTATGTGCCAATTGATACGACTGTTTATACTACTATTTTGATGGCTAAGATGAGTAAGAGGAGTCCAACTCACATGGTCATGTCATTCTTAAAAAATTCAACTAGAGATCTTGCTTTAGGCCTCAAATTATATTGACTGTTAAAATTTCATGCAATTAATTGCTTGAATTTTCGGGAAAAAAAAGAGTCATGCAATTTAGTAAGATCTAAAGTTTTAAATAAAAGATTCAATTTAGCTTGATTCTTTCAAGACTATTACTTTGGGGTAAATCGAGTGTTTGGGTGGTGTATTTGGCTCGAGGAATAGATCTTCCATGTCCCTCAAAGGGCAATGTTGTGAGTATGTCGGGAGTGTTTTTGTTTGCTTGAACTTCCTGAAGGAAAAAAAAAAAAAAAAAAAAAAAAAAAAATCATGGTTTTCCTACCACTGAGAATTAGTGGACCGAAAAAGTGGACTTGTCTACGGTCATGTGGACTTGTCTATGATCATATAAATGATACCAAAATGTTATGGGACATCTAGTATAACAGAAATATAATTAAATGGGAGATTTGAATGATCAATGGCTATTCAACAAACAAAAAACCATGGGATCGGTAACATTACAGAAGATCCTCTCATTTGTTTCCTTAGTCCTGTTTGTTGTGTTGTTGTCTTCACCCTATGTTGCTATTCCTTCTGCTTCTGCTGAAGAAACCAAGGCTCTCCTAAAAAGGAAAGCCAGCTTTCAACTCCGAAACAATTCCATGCTAACTACATGGTCTCTTCCCTCTAACAATAGCCATACAAAAACAAGTATAGGACCATGCACTTGGTTTGGAATTTCTTGCAATATTGATGGGGAGCATCATGAGATTGAACCTCACAAATTCAAGTGTAAAAGTTACGCTTTATGCTTACCCATTCTCGTCTCTCCCCAATCTTGCATATATTGATCTTAGGATGAATGAACTTTTCGGTATCATCCCACCTCAAATTGGTAACCTCTCCAAGCTCATCTATCTTAGAATTGTCCATCAATCAGTTTTCGGGAGCAATCCCTCCAGATATTGGCCTGCTGACAAATCTTGAGTTCCTCCACCTCTTTGAAAACAAGTTAAATGGCTCAATTCCTCAAGAAATAGGCCAGCTAAAGTCTCTTTATGAGCTTGATTTGTATATGAACAATCTTGATGGCTCCATTCCTGCTTCTTTGGGCAGTTTGAGCAACTTGGCTATTTTATATCTTTATGGCAATGAGCTTTGTGGTTCCATTCCCCCAGAAATGGGAGATCTCTCCAATCTTGTTGAGCTCGACATGGATACGAACTTTCTAATGGGCCCCATCCCTTCAACTTTCAAGAATTTGCGAAAGCTAAAAGTGCTGTATGTGTTCAACAATCTACTATCTGGTCCCATCCCCCCAGAGATAGGTAACCTGAAATTGCTTCAATCTCTAAGGTTTCATGCAAACAATCTTTCTGGCACAATTCCCGGATCATTTGGTGATCTAACCTCACTCACTCTTCTACATCTCTATGCCAATCAACTCTCCAGTTGCATTCCTAAAGAATTAACAGCAGTGTCTTTAGAGATGCTCCCATAGAGTTACTACAAGGGAACAAACGCTTGAGTGGCAATGTTACTGGATTGCAACCTTGCAAAGAAGGTTCCATGCGAACAAACATATTCCAAAAAGAAACCACAAATTCATTCTTATAGTCGTATTTCTCCTTGTTGGGCCATTTTTACTTCTTGGTGCATTCATCGGACTTTTCCTTGTATACATAAGAAGAAAAGGAAATGCACAAGTCAAACAGGGCAAAGTGCAGGATAAAGATGTTTTTTCAATTCTGTCTCATGATGGGAGAACAACGTATGATGAAATCTTAAAAGCCACCAATGATTTTGATGCCACATACTGCATTGGAAAAGGTGGACATGGAACTGTCTACATAGCAGAGCTGCGATCAGGCAATATAGTAGCTGTGAAGAAACTTCACCAGTTTTCTGAGATGGGAGATGTTAAAGGTTTTAGAAATGAGGTAATGGCATTGACAAAATTAAGACACCGGAACATTGTAAAACTTTATGGTTTCTGTTCACATGCTTGACACAAATTTTTAGTTTACGAGTACCTTGAAAGGGGTAGCTTGGCCACAAACTTGAGCAAAGATGAAGTGGCTCAAGAACTGGATTGGCATAAAAGGGTTAATATAATTAAGGGCGTGGCTCATGCTTTGTCTTACATGCACCATGATTGCTCACCACTAGTTGTTCATGGAGACATATCAAGTAGCAACGTTTTGTTGGATTCAAATTATGTAACGACCTGAACCTGAAGGTTCGAATCGCTAACCGGGTCCTTACACGAACCTGAGGTCAATTAAAGGCACTACCGTCATTTTCTATGTCAATACATAATATACGTGTAATCCCAGGGTTTATAAAATAATAATAATAATAATAAATAAATAATAATTAAATGAGATCATAGCTACAAAGTATGTCAAAATGGTCCACTAACCCATCGAACCCTGTGGAGTAGCGTCGTTCGCCACTTCTTTTCCATATCCTGAAAAATATTAAATATAAGGGGTGAGCAAAGTACTCAGTAGGTGGTGCCTAAGACAGACCTCTTATGACCCCTTGAATCCACATATAGAATCGAAATCAAGATAACGGGATCATACTATACCAATGATATAATCCATAACCACAACTTCCAATATAACCACAAATGTCATCCAAGTTACAAATATACTATATATGCCGATGAAGTGCAATGCCATGCTCATGTTGCTCCCCATTTCCAAAACATTACCATTTCAACTTCTAAACCGTTAGTGCAATCCGACCCAAAGCACCTCCGAGGCGTCATGAAGAGAGGGTTGGCTAGCTATCCACGACCATAAGGCACCTCCAAGATGTCGCATCCGGCCTAGTTAACTCAACCACACTCCCTTTTAGACTACACTAACACCGCAGATTACTAAGAGCATCCTGGGTGTCCGGTTTTCAGAAACATTTTTCAAAAACAATTTTCTCAAAACGATTTCATTTGCTTCAAAAAAAAAAAAAAAAAAAAAAAAAAACTTTTCCCTTTCTCTTTCTTTCCCAATGGATGCATGAATGTGTCATGCTTCTAAACACAATTCAACTAATGGATTTCACCCATGCTTTCCATAATAAATTTCAAAATACGTAAGTCATACTTTCATTCAACATTGATTTGACATAGTAAACATACAAGGCACAAATTCTACTCCGCATAGGCATGCTTATAAACAAAACATCAACTAACACGTGATCACATTTCTCATATACATCATTTAAGCATGCTTTCTCCTCAAACAACAATTAACACATAACCACATATCACGCGTATAACAATTAAATCACCTTTGCAAGAATTCACAAAATTTAGGCATGCTTTACAACAATTAATGAAAGATAATTCACTAAAATCCAAGAAAATGTGAATTAGAAACCCCTACCTCAAGAATTGCAAAAACCCCCAATTTTGTGCCCTAGATTTTGAAATTCCATAGTGTACCAAACGAAGAATTGCTTCGATCAAACCGTAGATCTCGACGTGCTTTTTGTTTTGCCGCAAACGGCTCCCACAAATTCCAAAAGATGAGAGAGTAATTAAGATTTGAAATTGAAGTGTAGAGAAAAAGAAAAAAGAGAATGAGAGGTGGAGAGACGGCTTTACGGGAGAGAGAGAAGTGAGGCCATCTAATGGCCTTTTGGCCACAAAAAGAAGATAAGTGGTGGTGGGTCCCACCACCAAAAAATCTAACCCTTTTTTTTTTTATTTTTTTAAACATCATAACCATTATAATCTGCCCTCCTTAAAAGATTTCGTCCTCGAAATCTACTCTCCTTAAAGAAAGAGGCTCGCAGCCACATATTTTTCCAAGAAACACCTCACCAGACCGCAGGATTGTGAGCTCACAACCTTATTGCCTCTGACATCGAACGTCAATAGGCAATCACACCAACACAAACGCATCACCCTATGTGGGTACTCATTACTCACGACATCAGAACACGAGACCAACTAGGCCCAACATCCGACTCTCAACAGACATCAGTCCACTCTACACTGTTATGCAAGACTCCAAAGCTTGAAAGAAGAATGGTTTCTAGACTACCGAACATGACAATATCCAATCTCAACTCCTCCCTAAATGGACACACAAAACTCCAGAGAAAGAACCTCGTCCATCTCACAATCAAGCTCAACTCAATCCACACATCTCTATCAAACTAATACTCGCCATCTAACACACAGCTACACCATCACATATCAGTACAAGTGATCACCAACTACACCATACAACAATCATTACACTTAACAACCTCAAGATAACTGAATAATGAATCTCCCAACAATTACATAATTATGAGTCACCAAAACAATAAAACAAATTATCCTGCACCCAAGTCACAAATCCTCAAAACAAGATCTTCAATAATCAATGAACATACCGCAAACCTTTTATCGGACACTTAGTCCTACCTATCATACCCTGTCACGCGAGATAAACCACCCGAATCCACACTGTTGCACCGACACAACGTGTAATACCGTGTTCTCACTGTCACTAATAAGTCGAAACAATCATTGACCTTTAACCCAACATCATGTTAAAAAGGAACTGATTCAAGAGAAATGGTTGGGCAGGCCATTCTCATCATCGATCCGATCTCAACACAGACATCGCTCTTGTCCTCAGGTCTAAGCCTCAGATACAATCTCATATATAGTCCACAAAACAATTATGAAATCCACTCACTATCCATCTATCGCTCTACGTAACCTCAACAACTATGCAGTCACATACCAGCTCTAAAAATCTCAATCATGCCTTAATCACACAATCATAATAAGCTAAAAACAATACGACGCCAAATACCATAATCTTCAATTAGCACAAAAGATCTCTAATTTCCTCATAACACTCATACCAGGCAGACAACTCTATAACATCATTCAGTTTAATTCCTACTTCCTCAGAATACACAATACGACCATCTCATGCCCAAAACTACAAAACCAAAGTCAATCATTTTCATTATTTTCAACAGAGTCCCACATTTACTTCTAGCTGCTTAACACTCAAATAATACCAACACTTGTCCTCAAGACACTGCTCGAATCAAACACCTATAAAAACATCCGAATACATGACTCACACTAGATCACCTAATCATTCTTAAACTGTTGTTCTCAACACATTCCCTAACCATCACCGCGAGTACCAGATACTGGAACCACACTTTCCCTATTCGGCAATCTGTACACATTCCACCAGTCAAAACCACACCCAAAATAAGTACTACAAAAATCAAATACCCCACCTCCCTCCATGGAAGTGAGTCGACCCATTCAACCAAGACCTTACCGGTGAATGCTAACAACATAATAAACCACACACAGGTCCGTCCACCCACGGACTTGCACAACCCTTAAATGGAGAACAAGGCTCACGACAAACGACGCCCTTGCCAGGAATAAAATAAACAAAAAGGGTAACAAACCTCGCTCTCATAAAAGACTGGCGACTTACACCTAAATGCACCCGATAAGCTGTCACACGCTACTTATCATGTAACGACCCTAAACCTAAAACTAATTATAAAAAAAAAAATTTCGGCATGACCTTTGCTAAAAAGGGGCCTACAACAACTTGTTCAAATAAAAAAAATGCAATGGCCCTTCCTGGCCCTTCAGAATTTATCTAACCTTTTCGAATTCACGGCAAAATGTACCACATTACACATATATAACCATTACTAATTTCTCAAAGACATAACATCAACCTCTCACTCAACTTAAGCATTTTCATAGTCTCAATTTACATCCAAAAATAGTTAAGTATCTTAGTTATGTTACCTGGCCATGATTACAAAAAAATAAATACTCTTTTCTATAATTTGAGACTTTACAAAGATTAGCTAAAACACAAAAGGTAACAAAATAGATCTTTAGTCCTTCTCATGCTTGAGAGGGATCGACATCTACTATTTCCTTTCCCGGCCTTGAAAAAAAAAATGTTAAATAAAATGGGTTGAGCATAAAGCTCAGTAGGTGGCACCTAAGACACACCTCTTGTAGCCTCGTGAATCCAAACAAATAATAGAACAATAGGGATGGGATCATGTTAAGCCGGGAAAATACAACATAAATTCCAAGTTCAAAATTAACAAATTTCCATGCCATAAATGCAATGCTATGCATGTCACTCCCCATTTTTCAATTTACTTCAAAAACTTCACTTTTCAAACCGTTAATGTAACCCGTCCCTCGGTACCCCCTTGGCGATGTGAGAGAAGGATTGGCCACCGTCCCTGACCCTTGGTAACCCCGCAGCTTCATTTGGGGCCTAGTTGGCTCAACCACGCTAGGGCAATCTCCCTAGTTCCCTCTAGGCTACATTAACGCTACGAACCCTCGGTACCCCCTCGGCGTCCGGGTTTTCACAAAATCCTTTTCTCAAACAGGTTTCCCAAAATCCCTTTTTCATTTGTTCAAAACCATTTCCCTTCATTCATGCCCCACAATATGCATGTATGTCTCATGTATGCAATACTAGGGCAATGAGGAATTTCCATTCAACAGCATAATACAAACTTTACAAGAATCCTACGAAAATTTACTCATGCCTTCATATATTATCTCTAACAAATTATCAACACAATAAGCATAGAAAATCAATATTTAGACATGCTTTTCATACAAATCAACAAATACATGTAGCAACATGCTCCATAATACATAATTAGGTCATTTTATAAGATAATCAAATCAAATTAATCATGCTTCATCACAAAATCTCTAACAATTTAATAAGCATTCTAGGCATGAAAAATTAACACATTAAGCATGCTCTTTCATTTAATTCAATCAAATACACATATTCATATACTTCATATACACAATCAAGTCAATTTAAAGAGCAATTAACACAAATTATCATGCTAGAACACTAATCAAGTAAGATTAATTCACAAAGGTGCAAGATTGTAGGAATTAGGGACCCCTACCTCAAATCAAGCAAAACCCCCCAAAATGGGTCTCAAAACCGGAATCCCTAGAGTGCACTAAAACTAAAATTGCTTATATGGATGTGAAGATCTAGCCATGCTCTTCGAATTGCCGCAAACGGCTCTTAAAAATACCAAAAGTAGAGAGAGAAATCTAGGATTGAAGTTTGAAGAAGAAAAAGAAAAGAAAAGAAAAAAAAAACAGAAGCTTGAGAGAGAGTGAGAGAAGCCAGCGGGAGAGAAGAGAAAAATGAGAGACCAACTAGTG